ACTTGGGGATTCCAAAGGACGTAAATAGACGGTCACAAGGACACAGCCACCATTACAACAGTCACAGCTAACGAAACAGAAATGATCGTCAAAAAGGAGATTTCCGGGGAGCGGTTCCGCCTCTGAGAGCATGTCACGCCACTGCCATGAGAGCGTGCACCGTGATTATCGATTTCCCGTCCTAGCTGATTGGTGCATTGTTGCCGACGCTTCATCACCAAGCGGACTGAATAAATACACAGCCTTTTGTATGTGAGTGATTTGCTTGACTTGCAGTAACTTGTGTTGGGTTAATAAGCTTCCCTCGTGGCCGACTGACTTCTCTTGTTCTCTCGTGCGGGCGTTAGGGACCACAGTCGGCATAACACGCAGTTCGTTTCAATTACATGTTCCAGGCCCTGGTCATAACAGGTTCAGAAGTTGGAGATCGGTCGCTGGAACAAGATAACTATTCGCCTGACTCCCACTAGAAGCCTCGTCACATCTAAGTTTGACGAGGTCGAAATCCTCGCGAGGGGCGATAATCGCGTGATCTGCGAGCTGCTAGGGCATCGGTTCTCCGACCAGCCACTACTTACCAAGAGCAATGAACACCTCCCCGCCCTCAGTTTTTTTTCCGAGACTCGGCCTGGGCAGAGTAACTGACCACGAGGGAGACTGCCAACGAACGCCGCCTCCAATGCCAGTATCCGCGAGCTCAATTTCCGAGTGATTGTCACGCCAATAATCAGCAGTTGGGATGCGTGCAACCAAGCAATCATCTAAAACGAAAACACAATCTGCTACTTGTCATAGGTATGGTAGGGGAAGGGAAGAAGTGAGGGGCCAGATGCGCGGAAAAGAGTATTCTGTACAGAGGTAGTGGAGAATAGGGGACAGTTCGGCCGTCGGTTTCCACAACGTCCACTGCGGCGGCCCTCGGATCAGCGCCACTATCGCTAACTCATGGTTCCTTCGGCCGCCAAGTTTGCAGTCATGTGAACTATCTGCATGCGTGATTGCCTGCCTCTCGTTCCTTGTCGAGTCACCCGCATTGTGGCCTTTCGGTCAGGTCGATGCTTTGCCTTTGGCTTAGCGGTCTGCGCACCTTTTCCCCATTGGCTGGAGGACGCCGTGGATCAGGTTGCCATGCGCAGAGGCACAGAACACATACACACATCAAATGGATCTTTTTGTGAGCAGTTTGTCTCTGCAGAGCCTTTTGTCGGCTCCTTTCCTACAGTACACTGCCCAACCTAATTGGTCCTTCTGACTTAAGGAGCCTTCTGTAGGTGAGGGTCACTTTCTTCGGCACTGATGGCCCCGATGTAATATGAACTCGTAACTTCTGATGTGGCCTGCTGCCCTAATGGTGTCTTCCCGAAGTGTCCCTATGATGATGGTGACTTCCCGACGTGTCCCTGTGATGATGATAATCTTCCAATGTGATCAGTTCTCGCAACTTCTGACGTGGCTAAATGCAATCATCATAAAACCTTCAGTTGCGATTTTCATGCATCATCTTATGT